AAAAATTCTACAAAAGATATTTGTTGAAGCGCTCTTTCTGTAAGTGCCAAAAATCTGAAATATGACAAATATATGTATATTGCCAAAAGATTTAAATATGAAAAAATTCAAAATTTCAAATTTAACAATTTTTAATGTTTTTAAATATTTAATTTTTTTAAATCAACAATTAAATTTTAAATTTTCAAATTTTATTTTTATTTAATTTCAATCTTTTAAATTATCAAATTAATGAAAATTAACAAATTAAAAAATAAAAATTTTCAAACATTTGAATTTTTTATTTTATACAGTGACCAATTTTCCTGTGAAATCAATAAAATTATATATTATTGAAAAATTCTTGTAGATACAAGGGGAATTCTCCACACTCTAACTTTTTTTATTCAATGTAATAATTATATTTTAATTTTATGATTTTATTAAAACAATTTTTTTTAAACTACACGATATTTTAATAGTAAATAATTTTTTCATTAAATTTTTATTATAATTACGATACAATAAATAATTATATATATTACTCACTTTAATATTCGGTCGTGTTGAATCACAATATTTGCAATTCTATCATCTATTTTTTTGCTCATGTCCGATCGGCCCTCCACTAAGTGATTCAACCAATTCATCAACACTTGCATCTGTCCACATGCATGTATTGCAAACACAGCGGCTACACTGCAAGCCGCCGATCTTATAGCGTTCATCACGATACCTGTCAGAATTTGAATAGACAACATGATTTCATTACAGGGACTGTCACGCACGTCGGCAATCAAAATCGATGCAGGGAATGGCAATTGTATAAACGTCAAATTTCCATCCACTATTTTTCCCCCGCCGAACGGTTGAATAAGAAAATAAAATATGAAAGCACATAACATGAAAAAGAAGCAAATGAATGCCAATTTTCTTCCATAATTCGCATACGTAATCATAATGTTTCTATCCTCTTGGTGTTTAACGTTCTTCCAGTCCCATTCGATACGTTCGATACCTTCACGTATATCATTTTCATGGAGCAATAGAAAATAATATTTCATGAATGTCATCACGAAGAAACTCAATGGACCCACCATTTTGAGTTTGTTATATATATTGTTGATTTCCACCATCAGGTATATGCTACAAGACACAAGCATGAAACCGATCAAACTGTAACAAATGATACTGATCAACAAAGAATAACATTTCCCTATTCTTGACTTGCGTAAATTTGGCCAAGCACCAATCGGTGTCAACAACCAACGATTCCACTGTATGCTCAAATTCGTCTTCCTCTTATCGTCATCCTGAGTGATGACGATTTGCTGATTTTTCATCGTTGACGCTCGAGAGCTCGCTAGATACTAAATGTTACTGGTTCAATGACAATTGAAATGAAAAATCGCGTTGCGCCTGCGTTTGAATTTCGATTCGAAAGAGTAAATGATATTAATATTCTTTTTCAAAGGGTTCGACCCCTCTTGGTCCTTTGTTTGTTCATATATTATCAATGA